ACAGAGAGCTGCATGAACAGCTGGTCCTGATGGGAATGTCAAATTTCAACAATTCCAGTAATTGCAATACGTTCTCATACCAGATCTTTAAATACATAACAATAAATTTGATTAAGGGATCCTGATTTGGGTTGAAATAAGTAAACCTCATTGTGGCACTAGAGGCAAAAGTCAGGGGATCACCAAAGCCATTGTCATTGGCATAAAATGTGCCATTCCATCATGTTGAGATATGGATAAGTGAAAACTGTCTGGGAACTATAGCGATCCATCCAGTTGTTGTTAAGATATTACAGTCTGGACCAACGTGATGGACTGACATTGACATCCATAGAGCCTTGGAGCTACTGTGGCTAAAAACATTGCCCTTGAACAGAAATAAATACCTTTGTTGCTTAACATAATCCTGGGTTTTGCAAAAATCGTCCAATAATTTACATTCTCTTCTGGTGATGGGGTTGGTCTAAAAACACAGGAGCCTCCTCTGCCATCCATCACAGACCATACACTGAATGGAACATTTGGTCTCAAAATTGCATTGAGCTACTGGTGAGCTCAGTGAGTGCTGTGAGAGGTTAGATTGCTGGAAATTGCCTGCACAGGAACAATGTACCTGCATCTGGGGTTGAACGGGGTCATCCGATGGTTCCAAATAAAAAAAATCTATTTATGCTTGCTGTCCATTTCCAGCAGAGTGATTTTTCTGTGTAGACTAACTTTCAGTCTACCAGATCTGTTATTACACAGCAATGACTACCTGCCATGTTTTTCCTCTGCTGGCTTTTTGCCACCTGAAGCCAGCTAAGAGTTGCAACATGATAGTTTTGTTTGATGTGAGTGATAAAAACAAAGAAAAAAACAATAGTGGGAGAATTACAAACACATTCAAATCACAGAATTCACACTGTGAAAGACAATGTTTGGTAGAATGGCTTTTGAAAAAATAAAAAATAAAGAGAGCAAAGAAAATGTCTCCACATGAAAATCTAAGTAATAAAATCCACTGTTAAATTTACTTCAAACGTCCGTCAAATGTTGCACTGAATAGAAAATCTGTACATATCACAATCATTAAGAGTGAATATTCCTTGCAAAAAAAAGTTTTCCAAAACCCAGTTTTATCTGTACTTCGGATGCATATGACAGCTGATGAACACACTTTGATATTTGGACAGACATCCCTGACTGCAGATAGAGTTTTATCCATACCAATGCAAAATCATTCCCAGGTTGAAAGCGCAGGTACGCTCAGACGATTTCCACCCACTGTACACAAACCTGCAAATGTAAAAGGCTGCCTGCATCAACGCATACAAAAGTATAGCATGACAGCAGTGTGTACCAGAAAAATAACTGCAAATAACAACCTGGAACCTGCAACTTCAGCAAAAACACAACAGTGAGGACACACTGCTGTCTGTAATGGCAGGGTACCAACACTGTGTAACAACAGCAAATTCACATTTTGAAGCAGAGTAGTAGCTTCAGAGTGATACTTGGTGACAGGACACCCAGGATTATTTGCAGGACACTTACAATTCCAGGCCAGAAAGTCACATTTACTGCCAGGACATAAAAAAACAACTGTAATTACCAACAAGCCAGCAACCCTGTGAAAATCTGTAAATTGATTTATTTGTCTCTGCAGAGACAAAAAGTTTGCCTATGTGAATATCCCTGTCTCTCACAGCTTGATACTTGGGAGAAGACATTTTTCACAGCTTTAATGTGGGAGAGGTGGCACTAAAGACAGACAAAACACACTTAGAGGATACACTGCGGTTCCCTGCTTGTACATTTCCATCCACACCATGTATTTTTAGCTCAGCTGTGTACCAAATCAAAACATCTATTTTGTCTTTTTGGCAGGCCTGTCATGATGTCATCTAGCCCCACTTTGACACGCTCGGCTGTCACCACTGTTGGCAGATGGTATAATGTGGGCAAATGATTTGTTTTTAATTGTGAAACACACAGAAACCGGTGCTAATGAGTTAAATAATGCACAGGTACCCACATAATACCCACACGTAAGCTGCATATGGAGAAAATGAGTTAAAAATGTGTTATATGAACTAAATGCAATTCTCTGGTGATGTATTTAATGGTCTGAAACCAAGGGTATAAAATTCATCCTTCAACCGAATGCTAAAGTAGTTTAAATCACGTTTTGACAGAAAGGTTCAAGCACAAATAAAAAATACAGTTATGTTCACAGTCCACCAACTGTCCACAAGGTCGCCTTTAAATCAAAAAGAAGCACCTCCTGGCTGTACATCTTGACGACGTTGCAGATCTAAGCCCTGGTGCTCCGGTTAACGTCTTTGAAAGAATGTGATTTTTGTCCTGCAGAACTCTTTTGTGTTTCTGCTGAATCTGTCTGTGCTGTTTAGGTTAGTTCAACTTCAATTTACAGATATTAATATAAACACAGACATGATCATATAATAAGACAGCATTTTAACTTAAACCTGTGGAGGATATGGGTTGATTCTCTTCTTTTGTTTTCTATTCTATTCTCAGAGGTACTATATGGGGAGGAATGTAAAGATGCAATAACTTGATTTTCACGGCCGCTTGGAGGCAGTGGAAACAAGTTGGAAAAACACATCTTTGAGATGTTAGTGTGTAACATTTATCTTGGCAGAAATGCAATATAATACTCATAGGTATGTTTTAATCATCCATTAGTGTGTGATCTCCTAAAAAAATAAGAATTAAGGAGAGGTATTTTTGTTACCTTAGAATGAGACATTTATAGTGAGAGGGTCCTCTTCTGTGGAGTCTGCCATGTTGAACTGCCATGTTTCTTCAGTAGCTCAGAACAGACAAACCAATAATTTACACATCCAGCAGTAACAGAGCAACATTATCATTTGTTTCTGGCCCCCTGGTGAGCAGTCCAGTGTTCTCTTTTAGCTTTATTTTTGGTCTCTACCGACTCCTGAAAGAAATATCTGGCTGTTAAGCTGCTAAATACTTCACTATGTTTACCAGCTAGTAGTTAACTGTTGCGTGGCTTTCATTAGTGCTGAGCTACCTGCTGTGGCTGAGAGTGGTGAGAGTGAACCAAACAGTAAATGTATGGACCAGACAGCTAAACAATGAGCTGAATTTTGCTGTAAACCTAAATAAAGCTGTATATTCTGGTGATAATTCTCTGTAGCTTAATCACTGAGCGACCCCTTTCACACTGTCACATTGTTTTCATGGATTCATTTGACGGATTGTTCATCAGACAAAATAAGCAATTTAAAGACATCACCTTGGTCTCTGGTGATATTAAATAAGTTTGTGTGAGTGTTTTTGACATTTTATTGATTCAGTGACTAATTGGTTAGTTTAAAAAAAGGCTGACACATCTACATTAACTTCATTAATATAACTGCTAAGAGAGTTTATGTATGCGTGTGGGTATTCTTATGAAAAGATAAAGGTCACGCAGATGATGAATGAATCCAGCTTCATCTATTCAGCCTTTTTTTTTCTCAAATTCAAATTTGCTTAACTAGTATGACCATAATTAAGTACAATATTCTCAAAGCAGGTTTTTCAGTGTTTAGAATGTAATTATAATTGATAATGTCACAGAGGAGAAATGACAACAAATGATCTGTACCTTTCGACACTGTGTAACTGTTTTTACACAACACAGCACTATGTACACTGTTCAACCTACACAGTATAGCTATTGTATAATAAAAGAAAACTGATAGTTACAAATAAAGCATTGATAAAATTTAAAGTATACAGCTGTGGAAGAATCCTTGTAAAAGTAAGCAAATGTAGCACAATGTAAAAAATACTCCATTACAGGCCACCATTCAAAACTTTACTTTATAGTAAAGTATTAAGTGAAGTAACTAAATTTGCAATGAAGTAGACTACTCATTCTGAAAATTGTCCATTTTCAGAATGATATATTGTTATACACATTTAATTGGTAAATTATTGTTACTGATACCGTGTAACCTTACTTCTACTATTTGATGTACTATCTCTAGAATAATCTATATAACAAAAATATATTTTATAAACTGATAATATGACATGTAAAACTGGAATCTGAAAGGTAACTAGTAACTATAACTGTCAAATAAAGGTA